AGAAGAACCAAACAGCTTTAATCACAGGACAACTTTTGATCGTCCTTAGAATAAAGCAGGTCCTTTAATGGTGGCCTTGTCCTGCAGACTCCTCAGGACTACCAGGACTCCTATCTCAGGCAGCTGATCCAGGAGGGGTCAGAGGTCAGCTCGCTGCACTCCTTCGCCTATGATGCCGTTTGGGTCGTTGCCAAAGCTCTGAGCCAGGCGACAGAGGTGGCAAAACAGAGAGAGAAATACAGCCCTCGGAGGAACGTGACGGTCAGCGGGGAGGAGGTGGCGAGGATGTTGCTGGAGGCCGTGAGAAGCACGCGGTTCGAAGGAGTCACGGTGAGCAGACACACAGTAACGAGCGTCACTGAGAGTGGTCGTAGACGTCCAGCTGAAAGGCTTGAAGACCAACCTTTTCCCGGTGTGCGCCTCACCGTGAACGTTTGTGCTTTCAGGGTCCGGTTTTCTTTCGGAACGGGGAGAGGATGACGTCGATCGAGCTGCTCCAGTTTCAAGGTGCCAAAGATCCCAAAGTTCATTTTAAATAAACAACGATTTTATTTCACCGTCAGTCGATGATGAATCCATGATGTGTGTGTGCTCAGTCAGCAGTGGCGTCCTGGTGGGGGAGTTCAACACCAGCACCCAACAACTCCGCCTGATGCACCACCTGCTCAGGTTCAAAGGTCAGAAACTAAACGTACATTTTATTTTGAAAGGCATCAAAACTGGAAGAGATGCAGAGTTAAAATGTAAACCGTTTGTTTTTGCTGTAAAGCTGCGGTGAATTGATAAAGCCGACCTGCTGCTCGGTGACGATGAAGCAAAGATAAACACTGATCAGATGTGCTGATGCTGCAGGTCCAGGACCAGCTAAAGACCAGCCTGCTGTCCTCCTGCAGCACCGTCACATCAGCCTCCTCCTGTACATCGTCATATCATCAGCTGCTGGTGCGACCATCATCATCGCTCTGATCGTCCTTTTCTTCGTCATCGTCAGCCGCAAACACCGGTACGACGTCTGTAAGTTCACCGACACGTTACAGCAAACTGAGAAACTGAGCGCCCTCTGCCCGTAGGCGGCTCGGCTCGGGCGGTGCATCCCAGGACGAGCTGCTCCTGCTGGGCGTCCTGCTCTCCTCCTCCTCGGTGCTGTTCTCCGGCCTGGACGAAGCCTCGCTGTCGGACTGGATGTTTGGGCTTCTTTGTTCTGTGAGTCTCACACGGCGAACTGAAAACACGCAGCTGTGTCCCAGAAACAGCACGAGGCTGGAAAAATCGAGTATTTGTGGTTTGCAGTTTTCACCAGAGAGTTTAACTCGATCACGAGGACATGCAGAGCAGGTTTTCACTCAGGGGGATGCAAAAAGGATTAAAGTATGTTGTGATGTGTGAAAGGTGCTCCTTGAAATATTTAATAATCATAATAAATTATGAAAATTCCTCCTTAATATCTGTC